ATTAATCGTGACTATTTAACCCGAACAACTTTTCTTCCTTCCATCAATTTAAGCTCTCGACCAACTCAAGGTTGCAGAGAATGGAAAAGAGACTCTCTCGCGTAAAGACATTTCTAAAAATTTGGACAAAAATCTCAAGTTTATCGATTGAAACGGATTCAAAATTTCCGCAAGAGCAAGAGTTTGTTCGAATGATCGATATAATTTTGATACTTAGATAATTGGATCGTTTACATAACGATTAACGTAATCATCCGTCGATTTATGATGCAAATCCTCTGGGTTGCGCAACGGAACGACGGAGGATTGAAAAAAAAAAGAAGAGGAAAAAAGGTCGATACTCCGAAAGAGAACTTTGTTCGAAAGCCTCGAAACGAAACGCAACATTGTCGTCCTCCTTTCCCTTTGTTTCACTTCACCGAAACCCGGCTACGACACGAGGGACATGGCTGGCAAGGTTGCTAACCACCGAGGAACGCGTGGGCGAGATCGAGCCGACATAGGGAACAACTTCGAAGCTTTTATGTCGTCGAGGCGAAATCATAAATAATACTCGCCGGATTATCGGCGTTGCACGCGCTGCGTCGTACCCGACCAACGTACGACGAAATGTTGTCGACAAATTAATTCTGCCAGCGCGGACGGCGCAAGCGCCACGAAACGCGAAGCTCGATGAATAATGAACGGTGTTGGTTGTCAGACCGAATGAAAGTAACATTGAAAACGATTAAGCAGCGAGGAAACCGAACTCCGCTCGCTCTTATGTATATCGTTTTACCACCTTTCACCGCACCTTCTCTTCTCCTTTATCCTCCCTCCCTTCGAAACAAAATTTTCGAACAATCTTTCGTTTAAATTCTCCTTAAACCATTCCTCTTCTCGATTTACAAAATTTTACAAAATTCAATGCCTGTCAATCGACAACAACAACGACAGATTCGAGAGAATTTAAAACTACGAGAAAAAGATAAAATTCTCTCTAAGGAAAGTAATCCAGGTATAAGTCGCTTCAAAAAATGTGAATACTTAATTCCATAAATTAAGACGATCCAAAGACTCCAGAATCCTCCGTGATTAATGTTTCAATTTCTCGAACGAGACGCGGCCACTCCCGATCCACGGAGGACAATTAACGAAGGGTTTCGAAGCGAAATTTTCCCGCGATTTCTCGATCGAGGTTTTATCGTCACTTTCGATCGGCGCCGAGAGAGCGAGCGTGTCGTACGCGCCGCACAGATTTCACGACGGAGGTAATTACAACGTTACAACGACGTTCTTTCGACGTCGGGGCAATTAACGCCCCGATGACAGGAGCGAGATCCAAGAAGAGGATCCATCGTCCGGCCGAAAATTGCACGCTGGATACCTGTCGATACACACGTGGACCCCCCTTCCCCCAAAAATTTCCGGTATGAATTTAAGTATCCCGGGGGTACTTTATCTTGGCGGTGCTTAAAGGAAGGGACCAGGCGCCGTAATTAAATGCCGGCACCTCTTGGCCTCGTTATCGGCAGAGACGATCGATGGCCTCGTACCAAGGAGACGCACCTTTGGAAGGACACCGAGGATCGACGGGGATTTTTCTTCTTCTTGTTATCCCCTGCTCTTCACCCCTCTCGTCCACTTCTCTCGTTTCTCTTTTGACTGGAACAGGGAACGTTCCGAGGATCAAGATCGTGCGAAATTTCGAAAAAGGCTCGAGGAGGAGCTTGAGAAAAAAAAAAGGGGGTATCCTCGAGGAGAGGACTTTGCAAAGCGAAGGAGGATTAATTATATGAAACACTTATTTTTCTCTCGTTATCTTTCGACTCGAACGAATGGTGGAAGGAAGGGACAGTGGATCGAGATCGCGTGGAAAACGCGAAGAGAAAAAGAAGAAACGGTAACGAAATGAGAGGAGAAGGAAGAATCTTCTTGTTCTTCTTCTTTTTCGCTTCTTCCTCGAAAAAGACAGAAAATCAAGATCAAGAAAATCAAAAGTTAGAATGACGTTTCTTCCTAAAGAAAGAGACAAAGTATCTTTATTCTTGTTCATTATTCTCCTTTCTTGTGGAGAGAAACAAAGAAAAACTTGAAAAACTATCCTCTAAAGGAAACTCTGCAAATTAGCAAAAAAAAAAGAAAAAAAAAGAAAGAAACGATTAATTATATAAGGCATCGAGAAACGCGCAGTATTTGTCAAAAGGGGAAACACGTGCGGCAATTAATCGCGGAAAGAAATAAGAAATAAAAATGGCTCGTCGAATTTGAATGCCCCGCGACAGTACACCACCGGTTCATTCTTTTTTTTTCCCCTCTCTGCTTCGACTTGCTGTTTCTTCTTCGACCCAAAAAAAAGAAAAAAGAGGAGACTTGCGTCACACAAAAAGAAACGATTGAAATCTTCCCTGGTGCCTGACAACCCGGCCAGGGACGTGGTCCGTTCGGGTAACAAGTGGCGATCGGTTATACGCGTTCCACAAACGGTATTTACCACGCCGCAGGGACGCATTCGACTCTCCAAGATGTCCAGATAGAACGACCGACGCGGATCAATTAAATTAATTAACGACTCACCTTCACTTACACGTCTCTTCGATTCTACTCGTGGAAAAATAACGAAATAAGAAAATCTCGACTCCTTTCTACGGACATATTCATAATTATCACACACTCAAAATATTAAAATATATCAAATGAAATTTTCGGAATATCTCGAACACGAGATTGAACGAGACAATTCGTGCAAATAAAAGAAAAGAAAAGAAAAGAAAAGTATTAAAAATCGAATCGAGAATTTCCTTTCGAGAAAGAATATTTACCTGGACGACTGAGAGAGGAACGCGGGACACGATGAATGCGGCCCTGGAGGCGCACTTATGGTACACGTAGGTGAATGTCGGGAGAGAAATCATACCGGCAAGGACGACAGCGAGGGGAGAGGGTGACCGGGGGAAAAGAGGGACACCACCACGCCCGACTCATCCCGACTTTCTAGAAACCGAAAACTGGATCGTGGCATGTGGATGTCGAGAGTACCGAGAGCTTGATTCACGTAACAGATGTCAGTCTTTAAGGATCGTGGATCGTGCCCCGCCTTTTCTTATTCTTCTTCTTATTTCGAGCGGCGTTCCACGTAGCCGGCTACCGTCTCCCGAGGACATTACTCACAGAAGTCGGTCTTCTTCTCCCCCGCCGCCAACGGGAGAAACTCCACCATTCGATGGAGATAAACCGCTGCCTCCTCGCGGAGGAGGAGGAAACGAAATCCCGAGAGAAAGAACAAAACGTCCCGAAACGGAGTTAAGTTACAGGAAATCTTCGAAGGGAGCGAACTCGAACCGTCCTCTCGATTCCATCTTCCACTAGAGTCGTTAAACCAACAACGAGCCCGTCAAACTATTCGAATTAACGACCGAGAGCCTCGTAAAACCAGCGCCATTAAGATCGTGTTATCTTAAGATCTTATTGTTGGTAGCGCGTTACGTGTGCCTCTGTGGATAGTCGTTGCATTGACAGAAGTTAAAGCCAACAGTATCCATACATATATAAAACAATTGTACACACATAGTATAGAATTTACACTACCATATCTGATAAAAAAAAACAGCTATGATATTAATTATTTGCGAAAATAATTCAGATATGTACTACGTACCATGGATATGGCGAACGATCGCGGTGTAGATCGGCCTTTACGTAGAAAAATCTCTTTCTCCTGTCTCCGGATGGGAACAAGGGAAAGTACGAAATGTAA